ATTCATCCCGTTGTTTATCAATAATTTTATCCTCTAATCCTTGCTTCTTGATTGTATTATATAATTCTTTATACATTAAAAAGTTTTTTAAATAATCTTCTGCTTCTTCTTGTGATAAATAAATAATTGGAATTTTGATTAAATGCTTTAAAGATTCAAATGTATCATCTGAAGGTGAACCTGAACGGTTGATATAAATTAACACATGTGAATAGGGGGAAGTGTTAGCAATAATGATAATTTGTTTTTAATATCGTTAATGTTTTACCTTTATTTTGTTTACCAATGCTGCAGTGATTGAATTTAAGTAACATTCAGAATATGGAATTTTCATTAATTTTTCCTTAGATAGAGCATTTCTATTATCACTCAATGCTTCATTAATCATATCTATCTATGTATTATATACTCCTGCTAATTCTTCATAAGGGTGGATGAATTTAAATCCATTTAATCAAAAATAAATTTATAATTTTAAACATTTCTATTCATCAATATTTCATCATATGAACTTCTATACTGTGGTGGTGTACCTGTTGGATGATATTTCAAACCTTCATCCGGTGTCCATGTCCAATACGTAGTCCTAGTAAACCAAACCTGAGGAGGATTTGTCACCTTGAACAGTAAGTGTCATTTTCACCCTGAATGATTGGATAAGCTTTCACTTGTACTGTAACTTGTGAGTTGAAAGTTTCTAATCCATCAAAGAATATACCCGCTCCATCACGTTGAACTGGAATAGTGCATAAAATGAAGTTTGGTCTTTCCATGTTCTAGCTAATGGTATGCCATTATCATCATTCAGTGGTCTAGTTAATGAGTCCTCGTATTCTTCCGTGCATTCATTCACTCCATCTAAATCAGAAGCTTGAAGCATACGTGTAAAGAATATGTCGCCCACTGTGGTCATCGCTTGATCGGGGAAGTTTCTGGAATCTATAGTGACCTGAAGACCTCGAAGCATTGGATTTTCTAAAACCGTTCTTTGCATTGCATTCTTCGGAAATGTTAACACAACATCTGTAACATTATGAAGAGCGTATGAGAAATCTGAGCTAATACCTTCAGGAGTGATGCAACCTCCATTTAGTGAACGAACGTCAATATGTTGAGCTGGAATCATGAATGGATCTTCCTTACTAAATAAACGTGGTATTGCTTTAACTGATTCTTCAATTAAACCGTATCCTGGTGTAATGCATTTATCCTCTAAAACTTCCATCTTTGTGCATGAAATAATAACGTTATCAACTGTTGCGTCAGCAGATGTAGCGGCTAAGCTTGTAATTAATTTGGTAGGAAGTCCGATTTTTGGAATTTGCGATCATATTTATAAACATGATTCATAATCTTTTTCATAATTTTCATCAGTTATCTTTTCATAAACGTAATTTTGTAAATCAGCAACTCTTAACGGGTCAACCTGACAAAATACTAAAGTATCCCTGAAAACATAATATTTAAGAATGATTTCACCAAATGATTTAGGATAATCATCGAACGCCTGAAATGCTAACAAATCATTTACCGGAATAATCATATCAAAAGTGACATCAACTTCTTCATTTGCATTCTTGAAAACTTCTGAAGGGTCAATATATTTACCACATACTGAGTTATCATATTTTTGAACATTATTATATAACGAATGAACAAACTTTTTAACTTTCCTTTCTGATTTTGGTTATATGTTGCAAATGCGAAAGATTCACGGCGCAATCCATCTGAAGATAACCGGCATCACCTCTTTCGGTTTCTACTTCTAATTGTTTAAAGCTTTGATTTGATGATTTGTAACCAACGAATAAACGCATGCATTTAAAAGCGGCATCACATGTGAAAGCTTTATTTGAAACTAGAGTTGCTTTAACTTTGCGTTTAATATATGTGTCACCTAATTGGTTCACATCATGAGCCGGATTTGTAATTCTTAAATGAGTTTGTTTATCATCAAAATATGGAGCATCAGAGTCATAGCATGAACTTTCAAGTTCTCTATAATATCTTCTACCGTCATTCTTTGCGAATATTTCATTTATCTTTTCGAATGAATGAAACACATTTCCATTAATCGGTTTAGTGTTTGGCACTAAATAGTTAGTCGTCATTTATTAATAAATAAAAAATCAAAATTAAAAGATGAAAATGAATTTTTAATTTTAATGAAATAATCAGAAATGGCTGCAGGATTCTTTAAAAAATTATGGGATAAAGTAAAAAGAGGAGCGCATAAAGTTTGGGAAACAATGAAGAAAGGAGCAAATTGGATATTTAAGAATAAAGAAGCAATTAGTGACATTGCTGAATCAATAACGCCAAAAGCTGCCCCAATAAGAGAAGTTTTAAATAAAGGAGAAAAAGTTTATCAAAGACTTCAACCGATACTAAGATAAAAATAATATTTATTTATTTTTCAACTATCTACCCCCTATTTTATTAAGTATTCCTTCAGCTATTCCACCAATTGCGTTACCTGCTTGTGCTCCCATCGCCGGATTACCTGCTTTAGTACCTAATACTCCACCTATGATAGTTCCTGCTGTTTTCGCTACTGGTGCCAAAAAGTTTGCAACGGGTTTAATAATATTTTTATGAACCCAACCCGCAGCTTTCTTAATTCCATCCCATAATTTTTTAAAGAATCCTGCAGCCATTTCTGATTTAATATTAATTAAAAAATATATTTCATCACTTATATTCGAGAAAGGGACAGACTAGCCCATTGTCACTTTTTAATTTAGCAAATGAACGCTTATGGAGTGGAGTTTTTGGGTAAATCTGATTTGCTTATAAATGAAATAAAATCAAAAGAAACCATATTGGCATTATATTATGCAAAAATAAATGATCTTACTTAGTACTTTTAAAGTTAATTTCAGAAAAAATTTGACACAATGGTATCCGGCACATACAAGTGGTGTACAACCAAAATATAAGTTGGTTTAAACATATATTGCTATATCTCATGATCTTACTTAGTACTTTTAAAGTTAATTTCAGAAAAAATTTGACACAATGGTATCCGGCACATACAAGTGGTGTACAACCAAAATATAAGTTGGTTTAAACATATATTGCTATATCTCATGATCTTACTTAGTACTTTTAAAGTTAATTTCAGAAAAAATTTGACACAATGGTATCCGGCACATACAAGTGGTGTACAACCAAATCTTCGACTCGATGAACTTGTCATCGAGTTATATTCCAGTGTTGTTCCTTCATTCCTGATTAAGTTGCAAATTAAAGGTCTGGATTCAGAGAGAAGTGTTAAAGTTATCAAAAAAGTCACAAGAGATTTCGAAGAAATGACACAATTTAAAAAAGTCGAATGCATCAGTATGCTTGAAGCTGTTCAGAAAGGTCTGAAAAATGATACACTTGATCCCAACATTGTTTACTCAACATTAAAAATATTATTGCAAAGAAAACATTTGATTTAATAAACATTTAATTTATTATAATTAATTTTTTATTACAGTATAGTAAAAAATGCTATAAATAAATTATTATATTTTATTAAAATGTGACTTTTAATAGTAAGTGAATAAAATAAATCAGGAATTGGGAAAGAAATAAGGTTAATTAAAAATAATGAAAATTACAAGTTTAAGGTTAATGAAAAAGTGACAATGGGCGAGTTTGTCCCCCACTCCTTATATTCTAATTTTTATTTAATGATAAATGAAACCGATTTTTAAAATAAATGAAACAGAGAAGGAAGAAATAAATGAAAGTGAAGATGTTCAACAAAAAATAAACATTGTTAAACCAATTACTGAAATAAAAATTTTTTCATCTGTTGAAGAATTTAATGACTATTATGCTAATAATAAAAAATTATTTGAAGAATTGACAACATGTAAATTGAATAAAATGTTTAAAGTTGATGGATTCAAAATTTCAAAAATAAAGGGGGTGGTTAGTTTGAAATCTATTCCTCAATCAAGAATCACCTCATTAATGAAAATAGATGATTTAACAAAAAGAATAGAAGAGATTGAAGAAAGAATAAATCAAATAATTGATATCATAAATTCAAATAATCATTAATTTCAATTTCTTTTTCTCGTTTATGAGGTCTTTGATTATGACTTTATTGATTTCATAAATTCAAATAATGTTTAATTAATCGCGGAATATCTGACATCATCTATATATAGCTTCTTTTTTTATTTTATTTCATTATGTTTGGGCTGAGTGTAAATGTCTGAGAGAGGGTCAAAGTTGGAGAGAGGGTCAAAGTTGCTATTTGTCACTTTTCCACAAGAATATAATGGGGAAAAAGTTATCATATAGTTGATCTCATTCACTGAGGTGAGAGATGCATGTAGTGTAATGTGATAAACAGTGGGATTGCTGGTCTAAGTCCTAGGTTCGAGACAAATTGGCTTCATTTTTCTCTTTTTTAGTGACGTAAACTATTCAATTTTTGTGTTCTCCATTCAAATTTCAGAATTTTTTTTGCAGATTTCACGCTACATTCGAAGTTACCTTTTGTAACAACCACCACCGCCTACGAAAGACGAAAGTGTGTCACGATTTCACCCGGAAATCCGACGGTTGTTTAAGAGTAAGCACTTTTGGCACCTACTCGTAAATGTCTTACAATTTTGAAAATTTTTTAAATCTTGATTTATTCAAAAACGTAAGAATAAAAACCGTAAGAATCATACATTTTTTACTTCATATGTTAAAAAAAATGATACAAAATCGTTCAATATTGTATGAATTCTTACGTTTACAAAAAAAGTCACACAACCCTTCAACATATACTACTCTTAATCATCTTCAATAATTCTGGAAAATAAATATAAGAATCATTTGAAATCAATCAGAAAATCATAAGTATTATGTTAACAATATTTAATTTGAATTATATTATTTCATTCTTGAGTTTTCTGTATGAATCTTTTTTATCGGTGTCAAAAATTTACGATCACATTTTTCCGATCGCATTCAATAGAATTTTTTTTTCGTTCATTTGGTTTTAACATATGACCTTGCCATTCTTACCATTCTTACTTTATAATAAATATCGTTTTCTTGAATCCGAATGGCTCATTAGTGAAGAAGATGGATTAAAGAAATACGCTTTAGATGTTAGTTACGATGAAACTCAAAAAGAGTATCGTTATGTTGCTTGGAAGAATTACCACGAAAATGATGGAGCACAAACCCTCCAAGCTAAAGATGCTATTGTTTTTTCCGGTAACTTTACTGTTACTAAAACAAATATTTCTGGTAAAGTCTTCTATCCACAAGGTTCTAAAATGCACGAATTCTCTACAGTTATTGATGACAAAGGAAATGAAAGTTATAATATCCAATTAATGTTATCAAATTATGTTTCGGTTTCTATTCGATTGACCAACATCTCATATGCCGAAATAAGTATTTCCCAATTAGGTAGTAAAGAATTGATGAAGTTCACAGCGATTGGACATCCAAAACATATTTATAAATTAAGACTTACAGCATCATGGATCACATACTTCGCTGTCACAGTTTTCTTGCTATTACAGATCAGATCAATGATCAAATTATTCAAACAAAGCAAGGAAGATGATCTTAAAACCTTTGCAACACAAAATACGAAATCCAAGGATGGAAAGAACAAATCTGATGAAGGAAATGACGGATCTAAAAATAAAAATACCAAAAAAGCAAGTAAATCAAATTCAAAAAAGAATAAGGCAAATAAGCAAAAGAATGCTTAAAGCCCGCTAAAATATACAATGACTTATGATGTTTCTTATCTTATTTAATAGAATAAATTTAATATTTATGAATTTTCTTATTTTTTTTTCTTAAATTCAATCTATAATGAGTTACAATAATATAAATTTTCTCATCAGATTTCAATGCCTATGCAAATGACCTTAATATGCTTCATTTTATTTCTATAATCTATGAATGATCAAAAAAAATATCATCAAGAAAACACCAAAAACTCTCAGAAAGAAAATTCAGAGACTCTCGTCATGAAATAAATAAACATAATTTTTTCATTCAAAAATTTCATGCCGAAAACAAAACAAACTAAAGAAGGAGGAAGAGATTAATGGTGAAAGTATATTTATTAAACAAAAATTAATTTTCAAAAAGCCATAAAATAAAAAACAATATATCTATAATATAATATTAAACTTGTTGATTGTTTTCTGATGAGTCATCAACCTGGGCTCCAATATCGTTTTCAATTGGGGAATCCATTGGAGATGTGTAAGAATCGGACTTTCTATCCTTTTGTTTCTGTTCTTTTGAGTTTCTCTTTCCATAAACATTAAGTCCAATTCCACTGGAGATAATAACAATGGAAAAGAAGTGGTAGATTGTAAATTTCTTGTCAGAGAACAAAAGGAAGGAAAGGCAAACTGTAAATGCCTTTCTAAGAGATGTAACCATAACAGCAACAACAGATCCAAATGATTTAATGATCAAATAGACAAATTGAATACCGATAGCACCTAAATATGAAAAAAGAACGATACTTACAACCAACCCTGGGTTCTCTGAGCATTGTTTAATGCCTTTTGTAAATTGTCCAGTTGGAACTGATAATCCACCGACAAGAAAAGAACCAATTAAGTAAATAATTGCAATAACTTCATCTTGTGGGGCTTGGTATTGAGAAAATGCTTTCTCTTCGAGATTTGAAGCAAAAGCATCTGCGAACAATGAAGCAATAATGGCAATTAATCCCATGGCGTCGATTTTATTATGAACTTTTTTGTCACTCATTGAAATACCGATTAATCCTGCAACGATAAGGAAAACAGAAACAATTTCTAGTATGGAGTATCGTTTCTTAAGGAAAAAGAAGCTTCCTAGCATAACAGGAATTAATTTTGAGGACCTAAAGAGTACCTGAGTCGGATAAGTGATTCTTTCTAGTGAGAAATTTGATAATGCTGTCGAGCTGACCAATGCAAACGCTGTAACAAAATAAAACCAAAAAGGCGCATGCAATTTTGACCTTCCTCGGAATAGATTGTAGAATAATTTGAATGACAGAGATGCATAGCAAAGAAATTGAAGGAACGTTAAAAAGAGAGACTCGTTAAATTTGTATTTCTTAAAAATCTTTTCGTGAGCGAATCCTTGTAACAAGAATGAACCGAAAACTCCTCCAATACCAATGGCCAATATCATCCATCTCGGAAATGATGATAAATCAAAGCCAAAAATAAAGGTTTCCGATTCCATTCTTCCAAAAAAATTTTTAGAATTTATGAAAAATTCAGTACGTTACCTGATTGAATTTCTTCGATCATTCTCATACAAAATATGAACGACTAGAAAACTTTTTTTGCACTACACATACAGACTAATAAAATTAACTCATCCTTTGAAGGAAAGTAAGTGTTCGTGGAAGATTGACCAGATCATGATTTGATGCAAAAAGAGGTGTATTGAAGCCTCTGCACATACACATTCATATGACTATCTGATTATTAACGCAGGTCTTCTTTTCATTTCTCACATTATAAATCAACTTACTACAGACAAAATATTCTACCAATTGCTCCCAAATTAAAAAGTTTAACAAATTTTCTGCTTCCTTCTTGTTCAAAAGCTATCCATCAATATTATTTGCAATTTTGTTTTCTGATTTATAGGGATAACTTTAATTTTTTGAAAGCTAATATCTCAGATGTTAACAGGGATTATTCCGTTTTATTAACTCTTATAAATTAGAATCAAATGTATTTTTTAAAATAAAAAATATATATTCCATGGTACTAACACTACAGTATAGACTTATTAAATATATTGTACTTGAAAAGGATCAAAGTAGATCCGCTGAACAGTTTAATAAACAAATTTTATTAAATTATCGAAAGTAACGTTGTGTTTGCAATAGTAAAACACCTAAATAATTTACAGTATATTAACAGAAAGGAATTTTCTATCTTCTTCTCGAGGAAGACCAGCAACAAAACGAAGTATTGAAAGCCATTCGTCTTCTTTCATACAGCCAAGTATCTTGTTTGCATCATCCCATCCAGGGCGTCTAATCAGTAATGGTTCGCCTTTCCAGAGAATTACAATTGCAGGTGTTGGAATAACTCCATACTTTGTTGCCAATTCATTTGATTTAATTGCATCAACTATAAATATTTGTCCAACTGTATCTGATGAATAATTTTTGCGAATTTTATCAAATAATTTTGCAGTGAATAGAGATGGAGGTAATACTATATGATAAAAGCAAAGGCATATAAATGGCTTATCCTTTGACTTTTTTGCTTCTTTGATTGCATTTAATACTTCTTCAGAAGTGTTTCCTGTGAAATCAGTCATTGACACTTTTTCATCAAAACGAATTTTATTTTGAAGAAAATTCCTGAAAAATTCAGGAGAATACCACGAGTTAAAGATAAATTTTATAAATTTTGTGAAATTCAAAGCAAAATGATCATGAAAATTTGAGTATTGATATTATCATTGGTAGCATACTAAATAACATATCACAATGAAATAAAATTTGCTATTTTTATTGAAGTATAATGGAATACAAAGATTCGATTGGAGACAAGTCATGGAAGAACGAAATACTAGCAGAGAAAAGCGAGACAATTATCGATGAAGATGATGATCCTATGAAAGATTCAGCTGAAAATACAATAGAAATTGATGGTCAAGAATTAATTAATGTAATTATTAGAGACTTGGAAAGAGTAAAGCAAGATTTGACAAACCAAGGCAAAAATTATACACTTATCGACAATTTAAAACAATTTAGAAGTTTAATTAATCATAACAAAATTACAATTGAATTATTGAATAATAATCCAAGTTTAATACACCTTCTCTCAGATGTATCTGCCGAAAGTGAATCAGTATTTAACTCAAAAGCATGTATGGACACAATTTGGAGAATTATTTCTTCAATACCAAATTCTTTTGATCTTCTTCGAGAAAATAACGTTGTATCTGCATGTATAGCAAAATTATCAGAAAATGCAAATGAATGTATTATTTCCACTCTTTATGTTTTGCATTATTTAGTTGAAAATGATCCTTCAATACTAGATGACCTGTTTGAATACGTTGATCCGTTATCTTTTATCACAATGCTAAAATCTATTGAGGATTTATATGCTCAAACTCCAGAAGATGACCCAGAAAGTGCTAATTTAAAGAGAACTCATCGACTTCTTTTAGAAGCTGTTGCATTTTTCTTTACGATAGTTTCTGATCTTATTAATGGTGAAAATGTTGGTGTTTTTCTTCAATTAATAGATTATATACTTAATGCAGGCGTAACTCTTGGAATGGCATATTCATTTTATTCCCTTAGGCATTTAATATTAAATAACCAACTTTCAATGGAAGATTTTCAAGTTTTTGGATTATCAAGATATATAAACAGTGCATTAAAGACAAAAGACAAAGATATATGCGGACAAGCATGCTTTTTAATATGTACATTAGTAGAAAAGGGATATCAGCTATCAGATATTAATGTTATTGATATTATGAATTATATCAAGTCAATTTCAGATAAAAGAAAGGAAACAGAAGCAAGGGAATGTTTAGCTCTAATATGTGAGAAAGGACCACCAATAATTAGAGAACAAATCGGAATGTCTCAAGATTTTAATTCAATAATCACAGAATCCATATCTAGAAAGGATGAATTCGGTGGATCTGCATATATTGGTGATTTTGCAACCATTTCTTTATCAGGAAGGTCGTTAATTGGCATTATTGAATGTGGATCTTCAGAATTAATTTCAACAATGCTTAATGATAGAACAATATTATCATTACTTACAGTTCTCAAGCTTACTGATGAAGAAATCATTACCAGATGTTTGAAAGCGCTTTTGGCGATATTAGATGCAGCAGAGAAATCGGGAGTTAAAGATAATTTTGTAGAGAGTTTTGTTGAAGAAGAAGGAGAACAAGCAATCAATGAATGCTATGAGAACTTTGAAGATAATGATGTTATTTGCCAACTAATAGATTTTATCATGGAGAAAATAGGATTCACTAAAGATGAATCATAAATTGAGTATGTTTTTTTTAATGAGTGTCTAATGTGGCATTCTTGCATGGTATTCTAAAATATACAAGACATTTTAATAATCATTTTTTTTAAGAAATGTGGAAGAAATTTTTCAATCGAGGAAGTTCACTCTTTAGTATTTTTTTTCATTTTTTCATTTTTCGTTAAGGATTCATTATGTCTTGTGGGTCTTTAGCAATGTATCAAGATTTCATAGGATTTTATGACCGGCTTTTTCACATTAAATCGAACGAATCTGTTGACGAAATGACTAATTTAATCTCTTCAATTTTAATCACTAAGTACAAAATGTCTTTTCGTGTGCTATTCAATAGCATTTTCAGGGCAATGCATTCCAACTATCGATCCATCAATGTCTATGTTCAAATTCTAAACCAAATTTTAACAAAATTTTCATTAAAAAAATCCGCAATTGTTTATCCAAATTATTATTTTTTTGATGTATCCGATATTTTTAGCTTAAAACAAGAAATAGCTTCCTCCTTCCCGAAAGAAGGTGAAATCGGTTACATGATTATGCATGACCAAATTGATTGTTTCAAAGAATATTTATTAACATTTTGCATACCTGATCATGAGTTTGATTGTTTCAGAGAAATTATTTCCAATAATTCATTAACATATTTATTAATGTTTTACAGATTTGAATTCCCCTCACATGAGCGATTATCATTACTTGAAGCTTGTTGTTATTTTGGATCTGTTAACATTTTCTTTTTCCTCATTTCAAATGCCGAATGTATAATCACTCCATCATGTCTTCGAAATGCCATTATTGGAGGAAACACTGACATTATAAATGAATGCATGAAGAAAAATCAAATAGATAAATATTGCGTGAATTCTAGTCTTGTATCACATAACAATCAATTCTTTGAATACATTCTAGAAAATGTTATGTTTACCTCTAATTTTAATGTTGAATCAACAGACGATTGTTACGATCACTACTCTGATTATATTATGTATCAAGATCATTTTGATTTTGAAGATTATTTTGATCATGAATGTATCATTAGATCACAAAATTTAAATGCAGTATTACTTTTGTACATGAAAGATAAAAATTTAATTTTTCCATGGTGTGCTGCATTTCCTCAGTTACTTGATATCATCAAGAAGGAATCTATGAATAATTCCTATCAAGTTTTGAATTTACAATTTCTTCATTATGCAATAAATTATGGATGTATTGAAACTGTAAAGTTTGCATTTTCCCAAAATGAAGGTGGAAATGCGAAATATATAAATCTTGATTCACTTCTGTTTTATGCAGTAGAAAAAAAAACAATAAAGAAATTGCAGAATTTCTTCTTTCTCACGGTGCAGATAAAGACGCTAAAAATAATGATGAATTAACTCCTCTCCATGTAGCATTAAAAAACAATAGTTTCGAAACTGCTGAAATTCTTATCTCAAATGGTGCAAATGTCAACATTTGGATAGATGAGGAAACTGCTCTTCAATTTGCTTTAGACAAAAATGTCAAAGAAATCGCTAAACTTATTGTTTTGCATGGTGCAGATATCAACATTCAAAACATAGATAGGAAAACGGCTCTTTATTATGCAGCAGCAAAATGTAATGATAAAGAAATGTTGGAATTTCTTATTTCGCATGGTGCAGATATCAACATTCAAGATAAATGTGGGAAAACAGCTCTTCATTATGCAACAGAAGCATGCAAGGATAAAGAAATGTTGGAATTTCTTATTTCGCATGGTGCAGATATCAATATTAAAGATGAAAATGGGAAAACTGCTCTTCATTTCGCAGCAGAATATGATCGTTTAGAAACAGCAAAACTTCTAATTTCTTATGGTGCAGACATAAATGCAAAAGATAAATTTGGAAGAACAGCCTCACACTATGCAGCAGAAAAAGAATTAGAAGGATTAATAGAATATCTTGTTATGCATGGTGCAAAAATTAATGAAAAAGACGAAAATGGAAAAACTCCACTTCATTTCGCAGCAGAATATGATCGTTTAGAAACAGCAAAACTTATAATTTCTTATGGTGCAGATATAAATGCAAAAGATAAAGAAGCAAAAACTCCTCTTGACTATGCAATCCAAAGTAAAAGACGAAAATGGAAAAACTCCACTCCGATGAGTATCTTCGACTACCTCGAACGCGTGGCGAATGATGAATATGAATACGAGGAAGAGGAAGATCATTTTGAAGATGAAGAAGAGGAGACCGATGAACAAGTGAGGGAAAGATTGGCGTACGAAGAGATTCAGAGGGAATCACTACAAAAACTGTGGGAAGAAACAATTAGAAAAAGCGAGATTAGTAATAAAGATTGATTTGATATATATATATTTATTTTTCAAATTTAACGAATTGTTCAAGGAGACTACGTGAAACAACTTCTGATGATGTTGGACTAGAAGGAAGTGAATCACGAAGAGTTCCTTTAACAATACAAACTACTTTGATTTTTTTTTTGACAAAAATTGAGGAAAATCAGAAATGGTAATACCAAAAAGGAATTGTAATGATCTCTTCCATTACAAAATCACATGGGGAACATGACTTTTCAAAATAGATTAAGTAAGAAAACAATTAAATTTTATTTCAAAGTTTTATTCTATATAGTAGGTTATTTTACAATCAGACAAGCTTATTGTTTAGTCGATTAGGGTTTTAAACCAAATAAAAAATAAATAATTTTTTTTAAAAGTTGAATTTTCGCTCTTTAATTCACTAAACAACTACAGTAAAAGCGGATGTTAGTATTACAAAGATGATTAAAGAATCTGAGGAATTATTTTTGAAATTGATTACTTTCTTAAATAATTGTTAAAGATTACATAAGAAATAGTTTCTACAATTATAAAACTTCCATTGATAAGACTATTTGATGTGATAGAATTGACGAGAAAAAAAAATTGATTTTTCTCGGAAGGTTTTTGAATGTTTCTAAATAAAGATAGTATTTTGTGAGAAAATCACGATGCTGGTATTAATTGTTGAAACAATTTGAGTTAATTTTGAGAGATTTTTTGTCTTATTGAATTTAATCTTCGGAAACGGAAGATAGTTCTTTATCTGTGAATGTTTCTTGATTAGCGATCGTAGGTTGCATTTGCTCAAGTTGTAATTCATGGGTTGGCGGAACTAGTGCTTCAGGAGGAATTTGAGCTATTTTTCCTGGTTCTGGAAGGCCTTTAGGTATCTTCGACTTCGGTGCATTTGTTTCCGGGGGCCCTGCATCATCTGTTTCTTTACACATTAATTTATAAAAAGTGACAAAATGGTTTTTAAGATCTAGGTACTTTTCTGAGGAGATTGCAAAGTGTTCTATGCATACAAGACATAATCAAATAACTAAAGATGTACCTTAAGAAGTGACAATGCATGGGAAGACATTTTTTTTTAATAGTGGTATTGTTACCGATTAGATGGGTAATAAAATCTTCTTGAGATGATTTTATGTAAAGTAAAAGTGTTATGGTAGTGTTCCTCGTGATTTATTATAGTATTTATATATCATATTATGTGGCCTTTCTACTATTCTAGTTATGGAGTTTGTGTACCTTAAAACAAAGGCTTTTTAATTGAAATTCAATTTTCCTAACCTTAAGGGTCCACTGTAAAAATTGAAAGTCTCTCAAAATTGAGAGGCGACTTGCAAATAATCATTATCGTCATTTTTCGAAAATCCACTTTTCCTAGCGTTCTGATTAATATTATGTGAATACAACAATGAAGCATATGTTTCAATAAGATGGTAATATATTCTATCACTTCAAATCTCATAAAAATTGCAAAATCAGCGTGTTTTATAAGAACATGATTTTTTCGAATTTTTTCGCTTTTGGATGCGTGTTTTGAAAAATAGATATTTTCGAATTTTAATTTTATCTTAAGTATAAGTTTTATATTAGGAATTTTTTTGACCTATTTCTAATCATTAATTCCAATGTTTTTCAAGGAATTTAATTGAGAAGAAATTAGGAATTTCGCTTTAATGCCATTACAAACTAATATTATGATGCATAATATATATATTTATTGAGGCTAATGCCGGGATATCTTGCATTTAAAAAAAAATTCAAAGAATTGACAATTGGATAGCACAAATTTAATTCCCTGGACAAAGTATTATTGTTTATATATTCAAACCATTATCCTTCGTTTAGATATGTTGGCCAAAAATTTTCGTGTTATTTTTTGTGTTTAAGCATAAATTATGTATTTACTTATGAAAAATAAGCATTTTATTCATTATCATAAAGATATACCATAACAATTGATAAAATTTTTTTAAAAAAAGTTGTGTATTTTAGTGGGTATTATTCTGGATAATGCCAATTTTTACAAGATTTAATATTAACCATATCAATAGCCGACTCAATGTAAAAATTTAGATATTATTTTTTCATTAATCAAACTTTGATAAATTTTAGTATAATGAACGATTTTGTTTCGTGTATGATACAGAAATGAAAAGCTTAATTAATATCATTTTGCATTTTTTAAAGGATGTTAGAGTACATCTACATTAAAAAATCAGATTTGAACTGCGATACTGCATCAAATTGATGCATATCTGATAAGGATCTCAAAAGAGTAAAGTTAATTTTTTTGTGTTTTTTTAAGTTTTGGGCCTTAGTAAAACACCATCTCGAGCAATATTTTTGGGACGACGATAGACCTTATTTGGCCTTACAGTGGACCCTTAAATAAAAAAATACGTTATTTCAGAAATGAGCAACGCTGAAGTTAAAATATTTAACAATGATCAACTAACAAATCTTTTAATTGGAAAGCAACCAAGAATTGGACATGGGATTAGTGAAAAGCGGAGTCAATCTACGTTAAATAGAGACTTTACGGATTTTTCAAAATTCAAATTCCCAGAACCAATTGAACCAATCAAGAAAAACCCTGTTCAAGAGGAAGAAAAAACTGATCGTGCAAGTACACAACAAGCAGCTACAAGTCAATTCAATAAATTACGGCAGGAAGAAAAATTGATAGGACAAGTCGATCAATATTTAAGCGTTTACGAATCAAACCATAAGAGGAAGACTCTGATGATGCACCAAGAGTTTGAAGAGCATTATCTTCAGCCGGTCTCGAGAAAATTGATGAAGAAAGTTAACGGACCAGAATACGACAAATATGTTCGTGCTAGATCTCAAGCAATTAAGACTTTTGAGACACAGATTAGCCAAAAAGATTCTTTACAGCGCCAATTACCTTCAATTCCAACAATTAGCTTTGACACAAGCGACATTGTTGATCCTGTTATGAAGTATCGTAAAAATGCACAGAAAGAACAAACCCTTACTAAAATTATTGCCATGCAAAATGGAGAATACAAACCACCAGAGCCAATTCAAGAAAGAGATACTATGAACCTCAAGAAATGGAAGATACTTGCACAGACACGTTTCTATGAAGGAACAGGCTCAACTCCAAAAGGAAAGAAAGTTTTCCCTCAAAAATTCCTTGATAATGTGCGCGAAGATGATTTTGCTGAGCCTCTCCCTATTATACCAGGTAAGAGAAAAGGATACGTACCAAAAGATAATGATATATTCTGAATTTATTATTTTTATTTAGTTTTTTATCTGTTATTTTAAAGCCTTTGTAATATAATTTATTTCAAACTCGAATACATACATTGAATTTTTGAATTAAAGAAAAAAACTACATTTAATATCATTCTTTTCCAAAGCCTAGGTTCTCGTTACTAGTGTCTGGTTCTCTCAATTTGTGGATAGCTCTCGCTTTTTGTAACCATACTTGAACAGCTAAATTATTGTTAAGGATACCCTTACGTGTCAGATTTTTTGCGCATACGAAGAAGTCATGCTAGACATGAGCTATAAACCTGAAATTTTAGCAACATATTTAAAACTTTTTAAACTACAATACACTTTAATATTCAAGAACAAAAATATTCTTTTTAGAAATTACATAATTATTTTATGTGAAATCTATATAAAAACATATTTTGCGAGCGTAACTTTTTTCTTTATAAGCACCTTATATGACTGATAAACTGTGAAGGCACATAATTGTTAATTCATAGAGTTGATATGTTTCCAAAATTGAGAGGAAATTTGAAAATTGAATACCCTTTCAATTCAATTTTCAAAAGATATCAGCTCCTTCAATAATTGAATGACGATTTTGATCATTTGCTCTTAAAACAAGTATGCCATGGAGAAAAAAGTTACGCTCGCAAATCTGAAATATAACTATCATATAAAAAAATTAAATTTCTAATTTTTTACTCTATAGATATTATTGGCCACTTGTGTAATGCATAAAAGTTTATGTCATATGCATACATTTGGAAGTATGGGAGACGAGGGAAATTACTTCTATGAGGCACTAGGATTTTTAAAAATTTCTCTATCGGACTCACCATTCAATTTCTCGAAAATTAAAAAAAAAATAATAGCTAAAATGTATTATGCATAACAAATTTTAATGTTACACGGTATTTTTGGAACTTCATGACATGAATTTTCTTTATATTATTTTTTTTTTTTTGGATTTTCTATGATTTATGCGATAGGCTGGAACAATTGTAAGTGCAATGATATCATTTATAGAGAAATCTAAAACTTCAGCATTCAGAACTCGCAACCACAAAAATATTCATTTGCTAAGTAAGTAAAGTTGATTAAGTTCGACACTTAGCTTTTATACGTAAAACCAAGTGTGTATTGTTATTTCTTGTTAAATTATTGAGAAAAAAATAAATTGTAAGAGAAACGATACTGATTATTGAAATAATATTGAGGGTAGCTGCAGATTTCTTCATTAACATGCCGGAAATTTGTTAATCTTGGTTTTCTATCATAAAATCTGTCGAAGAATCTAAAAACGGAGATATGAAATAGAGATCATGTAAATCTAGAGTATCCTGTCAGAAAAATAGACTAAGCATGTAACCCTTTTTTGGTCATAAACACTTTTTACCACTTAGTCATACAGATGATCATTAAATTTAAACGAGCACTTTTTGTCAGAATTTATTCTTTTACAAAGACAGAAGATTTTAGTATTATTTAATATTAGTGCTGTAGCAAAATTCAAAAAACGGTGAAAATTCAGTGAATTTGTGAATTCACATTTTTTTTTCGACATTTTTCTTGATATATCCATGCACATTAAGAACACAGCTTTGATACGCTTAAAAAAGCATATTTCATATGAAATTGTTAAAGAAATAAACAATTTATATAAAAATTGCACTTATGGGCAGTTTAGATATATAATTTATATATAACATATATACAAATCCATAGACAAAGTGCAATAACTACAATGTTGTAGAAAATTACAGCAGAAATACTGACTTTTTGAAGGATAATAAGAATTCTTCAAAATGTTGTATTTTTATAATTTGATGATTTTTTTTTACTATTTCATTAATCTTTATGAATAATAATTATTTTTAATATATGTGCTATTAAAATTTCAAATTTTGACTAATATATCTAAGTTATCTGAACGAAACATTTAGAAAATATCATACTTACATTGAAATAGCAAGTAGAGCATATTAATAGCAAGTTTCTTGGCTTTATATCTATCATCTATTGTTGTTTGATCAAACAAAATTCACTCTATTATATGGTGTCAATTAATTAAAACAATTTTGAATAGTTATTTATTTAGTGCGAATAAGTGCAAACTCATAAATGAATAACTTAATAGTAGAAATGAATTATCTGATATAAATCTCACATTTTGTCCATCAGAAATACTTTAATTGCATACGCATAACTATTAGTAATACGTCTGGAGTGTCAATTAATAACAATCCCACAACAAGTAAAATTCAGATTTTTATTAAACTTATTTTTTCCTAAAAGTTTTCTCAAATTACTATATATACATATGTGGATAAAATAATAGTAATATTGTAAAAAATTAGATAATTTTTTTTATTTGAGAACCTCTCAAAAGTTCATTCAATTTATCAATTGTTTCAGTTTGATGTATATTCATTTCTGGAGCCTAAAACTTTAGCAATCATGACAATATCATATTCTCTTTCTAACTACGCAATGTAAGGGTATCCTTAATATTGCTTAGCGAGGGAATTTATTGGTTATCCCCCCTCATTATTTTTATTTGTCTTTCTATATGAGTCGAACAAGAAAGGAACTCAAAGCCCAAATGATTAGAAAGAGGAAGAAACAAGATTCAGATGATGATATTGAAGCACATTTTAAGAAATTTGAGCAAGAATTGCCAAAGAAAGAAAAAGTTCGTCATGAAGAATCACAGAAAAAGAACAAAAGATTCAAAAAAGTATCTTCTGCAAGCTCATTAGTATGTGCTCGTAAAGGAGTCGCATCAAGTTTACGCTTTTTCATGAAAGAATTTTTCAATTTTATGCCAAATATTCAGCAAGCTCCAAAATTTGGAGGTAATGATCGTGTAGAACTAAACTCGATTGCCGATAAATCAGGATGTGATACAATTATGCTTTTTGAGACAATAGATAATAAACCATTTTTATGGGTATCCATTGCTCAAGAAGGCCCTACAATATGCTTCTCACTCGAAACTATGCATACATGTGAAGATGTTAATGGAAATGGAAAATGCACAAAATTTTCTTCTCCAATTCTAGTTTTTGATTCACATTTTGACGAAAAACCTGAATACGGAATATGCAAAGAGCTTCTTACTAGAGCACTTCGCGTTCCATACGGCACCAAGAAGATGAAAGAACATGTTGACACAGTTTTATCATTCTTTATCCTCCAAAACCACATTTACTTTAGAAGATACCAAATTGACTACCAAGAACCAATTAAAGTATTCGAAGCAGGACCACAGTTTTGCCTTGAGCCAATTTTTATTATGGGTGGATCTTTTTGCGGACAAAAGATCTGGCAAAACCAGAAAATCCTTGCCCAAGTTAAAGCTGCTACAGGAAAAGACACAAAGAAAGAAAATGAAGAAGAATCTACTTCAAAATAAAGTATTTATAGATAAAACTTTTATTATACAAAATACATCTTTTTTTTAATTTCCCATCCTCTATAATTTAGTAAACTTCAACTTCAATTTCTTTATTCTTTCAATATAGACACATCGCACAAAATTTGAATAGCTCTCTAAATATTGAGAATGCATGTGAAATCTCAAACAAATGAAACATAATAAAATATTACTTCTTTTTGGTGCGTCTTATATCATATAAATTGATATTAGTATTTTCAATTTATTAAGAAAATGTTGTAAAGTAAAATAAAGTTAGAAAAAAGTTGATTATCTTTTCTTTGCATATTTTAATCATCAACTTTTTCTTATGACAAATTTTTGAATTGGAATTTTGAAACATAACAAAAATTCAATGGCGTTTCACATCTTTTCATGGGATTAATGACGATTTATCATATATCAGAATGACCCAATAATTCGAAGCAAAAGTGTCAAATATCTGAATGTTAAGTTTTTAAAGATTTATTCTTGATCAAAAGGAAATCCATTATTTTTCTGTTTTGCATATTGGTTCGCAGACTTATTTTATGCAAGGCAATCAAACTAACACTTTAACATTCAATAATTGCGACTTTGAAACAAAAGAGAAAAATAATACATTTAATTACAAAATATTCAATCACAATCCAATGCACGTGAATGTGTCAATCGAGCAACATATTATTTTCAAAAATAGAAACAATTTTAACTTTAATCTTGAAAACAAAAAAACTATCAATATTATATAACAATCAGAAAGAATGTTTCAATTTATCATCTGTTGATAACATTTATTATACTTCGAATCATATATCTGGTGACGAAAGATATGAAATTATAATTGAATGGAAAAACAGAACAATTCTTAGCAATAGAAGTGTTAAATTAGAATACAATCATAATTCTAAGAAATTATTATATCAAACATCTGCAATAACAGATATATCTATAGAATATGATTATCAAGATTACATTCATGTTAATTTTACAGTTTATCCATTCAATATTGTATACTTGCGAAACCAATTTGAAGTGAAAATTGATTCAAAAGATCATGAATATATTGATCCATCTATTAACATATATGATTCTACAAGGGTAAGGTATGAAGATATGAAAATTAATATCAGTGGTTTAAAAGGAGGAAAACATACATTAAATTTGAAAATGCTTGCATATCAGTTGTCCTCCGTTGAAGCATCACAAGAATTCACTATCCCATTTCTAAGTATGAATCTAGAGATTATTTCATTTGATATTTCTCCTAAAGTATTTCCTGCTTTTGGAAATGCAGAAATAACAATAACTGGCAAAGTCAAATATTTTCCTAGAAGAAGAAATACTATTAAATATAGCATCAACAATGAAAGATATCAAACTTTAACTTCTTTTAACAGTTTTTCAACAACACCATCAACATCAATAGATGTTACCAATTAGTAGTAGGATATGAAGGGTTTAGTGACTTTTTTTGTAAACGTAAGAATTCATACAATATTGAACGATTTTGTATCATTATTTTTAACATTAATTTTAAAATAATTTATTTTTTTATTCTTACATAAATGACCCAACAAGTAAAACCAGATAAAATAGATTATCGAATTTTAGAGGATGGTGTTCCTGTTTATATTCAAAGATTTAAAGGGAAGCAATATTATAGAATTCTTAATCCTGAATACATAAAACATTTATTTAAAAAGGAAGACTGTGAATTATTAAACGTTAATGAATATGAAACCAATAAATCAAAATTGAAATATAAATATATTGGAAGTGATGAAAGATGTAAAAATAAAAATAAAGTTTATTCAGTTTCATATAATGAATGGAAAACCAATAAGATAAGAAAACATTTAGGAGATTATGGGAAATGTTCTGAATTCTTCAAATCTAGTATGTATGAGAGAGTAAAAGAAATTAGAAATAATTATTTTCATGAGTAAAAGAAATTAGAAATTTATGTCTTACGTTTTTGAATAAATCAAGATTTAAAAAATTTTCAAAATTGTAAGACATTTACACTCAGCCCAAACATAATGAAATAAACAAATTAAAAAAATTAACATTAATTTTAAAATAATTTATTTTTTTATCTTTTATAAAAGAATCTATATATAGATGATGTCAGATATTCCGCGATTAATTAAACATTGTTTAAATCCTGAATGGAATCAATGAAGTCATAATCAAAGACCTCATAAATGAGAAAAATAAATTAAAAATTAATGATTATTTGAATTTATGAAATCAATTATTTGATTCATTCTTTCTTCAATCTCTTCTATTCTTTTTGTTAAATCATCATTTTCATTAATGAGGTGATTCTTGAGCGAGGAATAGATTTCAAACTAACCACTCCTTTTATTTTTGAAATTTTGAATCCATCAACTTTAAACATTTTATTCAATTTACATGTTGTCAATTCTTCAAATAATTTTTTATTATTAGCATAATAGTCATTAAATTCTTCAACAGATGAAAAAATTTTTATTTCAGTAATTGGTTTAACAACATTTATTTTTTGTTGAACATTTTCACTTTCATTTATTTCTTCCTCCTTGTTTCATTTATTTTTAAAATGGTTTCATTTATCATTAAATAAAAATTAGAATATAAGTGATGAAATATATTTTTTAATTAATATTAAATCAGAAATGGCGGCAGGATTCTTTAAAAAATTATGGGATGGAATTAAGAAAGCTGCAGGTTGGGTTTATAAAAAGGTTATTAAACCTGTTGCAAACTTTTTGGCACCAGTAGCGAAAACGGCAGGAACTATCATAGGTGGAGTATTAGGTACAAAAGCAGGTAATCCGGCGATGGGAGCACAAGCGGGTAACGCAATTGGTGGAATTGCTGAAGGAATACTTAATAAAATAGGAGGTAGATAGTGGAAAAAAATAAATATTATTTTTATCTTAGTATCGGTTGTAGTCTTTGATAAACTTTTTCTCCTTTATTTAAATTTCTCTTATTGGGGCAGCTTTTGGCGTTATTGATTCAGCAATGTCACTAATTGCTTCTTTATTCTTAAATATCCAATTTGCTCCTTTCTTCATTGTTTCCCAAACTTTATGCGCTCCTCTTTTTACTTTATCCCACAGTTTCTTAAAGAATCCTGCAGCCATAGTTGATTATTTCATTAAAATTAAAAATTCATTTTCATCTTTTAATTTTGATTTTTTATTTAATAATAAATGACGACTAACTATTTGGTGCCAAACACTAAACCAATTAATGGAAATGTGTTTCATTCATTCGAAAAGATAAATGAAATATTCGCAAAGAATGACGGTAGAAGATATTATAGAGAACTTGAAAGTTCATGCTATGACTCTGATGCTCCATATTTTGATGATAAACAAACTCATTTAAGAATTACAAATCCGGCTCATGATGTGAACCAATTAGGTGACACATATATTAAACGCAAAGTTAAAGCAACTCTAGTTTCAAATAAAGCTTTCACATGTGATGCCGCTTTTAAATGCATGCGTTTATTCGTTGGTTACAAATCATCAAATCAAAGCTTTAAACAATTAGAAGTAGAAACTGAAAGAGGTGATGCTGGTTATCTTCAGATGGATTGCGCCCGTGAATCTTTCGCATTTGCAACATATAAACCAAAATCAGTCAGGAAAGTTAAAAAGTTTGTTCATTCGTTATAAATAATGTTCAAAAATATGATAACTCAGTATGTGGTAAATATATTGACCCTTCAGAAGTTTTCAAGAAAGCAAATGAAGAAGTTGATGTCACTTTTGATATGATTATTCCGGTAAATGATTTGTTAGCATTTCAGGCGTTCGATGATTATCCTAAATCATTTGGTGAATCATTCTTAAATATTATGTTTTCAGGGATACTTTAGTATTTTGTCAGGTTGACCCGTTAAGAGTTGCTGATTTACAAAATTACGTTTATGAAAAGATAACTGATGAAAATTATGAAAAGATTATGAATCATGTTTATAAATATGATCGCAAATTCCAACAAATCGGACTTCCTGCCAAATTAATTACAAGCTTAGCCGCTACATCTGCTGACGCAACAGTTGATGACGTTATTATTTCATGCACAAAGATGGAAGTTTTAGAGGATAAATGTATTACACCAGGATACGGTTTAATTGAAGAATCAGTTAAAGCAATACCACGTTTATTCAGTAAGGAAGATCCATTCATGATTCCAGCTCAACATATTGACGTTCGTTCACTAAATGGAGGTTGCATCACTCCTGAAGGTATCAGCTCAGATTTCTCATACGCTCTTCATAATGTTACAGATGTTGTGTTAACATTTCCGAAGAATGCAATGCAAAGAACAGTTTTAGAAAATCCAATGCTTCGAGGTCTTCAGGTCACTATAGATTCCAGAAACTTCCCCGATCAAGCGATGACCACAGTGGGCGACATATTCTTTACACGTATGCTTCAAGCTTCTGATTTAGATGGAGTGAATGAATGCACAGAAGAATACGAGGACTCATTAACTAGACCACTGAATGCAGATGATGGCACGCCATCAGCTAGAACATGGAAAGACCAAACTTCATTCTTATGCACTATTCCAGTTCAACGTAATGGAGCGGGTATATTCTTTGATGGATTAGAAACTTTCAACTCACAAGTTACAGTACAAGTGAAAGCTTATCCAATCATTCAGGGTGAAAATGACACTTACTGTTCAAAGGTGACAAATCCTCCTCAGGTTTGGTTTACTAGGACTACGTATTGGACATGGACACCGGATGAAGGTTTGAAATATCATCCAACAGGTACACCACCACAGTATAGAAGTTCATATGATGAAATATTGATGAATAGAAATTATAAAATTATAAATTTATTTTTGATTAAATGGATTTAAATTCTGAAGAATTAGCGGGAGTATATAATACATACGTAGATGATATGATTAATGAAGCATTGAGTGATAATAGAAATGCTCTATCTAAGGAAAAATTAATGAAAATTCCATATTCTGAATGTTACTTAAATTCAATCACTGCAGCAATTGGTAAACAAAATAAAGGTAAAACATTAACGATATTAAAACAAATTATCATTATTGCTAACACTTCCCCCCATTCACATGTGTTAATTTATATCAACCGTTCAGGTTCACCTTCAGATGATACATTTGAATCTTTAAAGCATTTAATCAAAATTCCAATTATTTATTTATCACAAGAAGAAGCAGAAGATTATTTAAAAAACTTTTTAATGTATAAAGAATTATATAATACAATCAAGAAGCAAGGATTAGAGGATAAAATTATTGATAAACAACGGGATGAATTATTTGAAACACTTTCTATTTCAAATTTTGATAGAGAATTTTTGCATTCACTCATTTTTCTAGATGATGGTGAAATCAAAACTAATAACAAATGAGAAATCATATTTTAATCAGTTATTAACTCAATGTCGACACATTCAGTGTTCATTCTTCATGGCTGTTCAATACTTCAAAGCATTAAGCACAAACATTAAATCAAATCTGTCACCCTTTTCATTTTCAGTGGGTTTAGTCGTCAACAGTTGAACGTTATGCTTTATCAAGTGAATTTACCAATGAGCATTAATGAACTTTACACACAATATCAGCAATTAGGTGAACATGGAAAAATAATAGTTGATTTAAATAAAGAGATGTGTTAAATTTGATTAACTTTTTATAATTATTTTTATTTTTTATTTATAATTAAACATGACAGAAATGCAAATCTTCTACAGGTTCCATTAAAACAAGGGACAAACAAAAGGGTGCATATAATAGAACTATGAAAGTTCCAGACGGAATGAAAGAATTAGTCCACATTGTTGCTGGTCTTCAAAAAGGATGTAAACAAATGAGAAACGTTTTAACATTACCAGAAGCTCAAGCATATGCCAAACGTCATGGTCCAAATTGGGAAGCACATGAAGCAGACATTACAGGACCAAATGGAAAACCTGATGGTATAAATGAAGTTTTCGTTACTGATGGTCAAGGTAATATTAAAGTCATAAATGGTTATAAATTAACTGTATCTGATTATCCTAAACGTAAAGCATATAATGAACGTTATCCTATGCAATTTGATGAAAATGGAAAAGCTGTTAAACAATACATTGGAGAAGGTGAACATGGTCCAATTAATTCATACCGTCATAATCCATATTCTTATTTCAATGAAGAATTAAACGCTATTGAAGAAGGACCGGATGGATTACCACGATATGTTAATCAGTTTGATGGTCAATATGCAAATTTGAGACCTGAAATTCCAGCTAAGAAATTCTTTAAAGTTGCTTTATTCGATCCAGTGTTCAATGCACAGAAAGAAGCAATGAAAGCAGAATTTAAACCAATTCAAGTGGCAAGAATTTCTTCATCTTCACTTTCAGAAGCGTTCAAGGAATTGATAAAGAAACCACTTTATTCTCAACAAGGTTATAACTTTGATTTAATTAAAGAAAGTGATAGACGTAAATTAGAAAAATCAGATGGTTTTAAGAATGCATGTAATGAAATGATTAAAGATATTGTAAATGATAAAATAAGACTGGAAGAAACTCAAAGCAATATCAATAACATAATTGGTGCAGTTACAAAGAAAGTATAAGCAAACAATGATGAACCTTGGGATATTACCGTAACAACTAAATAAAACTTTAAATATATTTTTCTTTTTTTATTCAATTATAAATGAGAAGACGTTTCACAAGTCAAAAGAACACAAACGCAAAAGCAGAGATTACGGTTGGTTATAACGTAAATGATGATAAATCACGAATTATTCAAAATGTTAAAGTTAATGTTAGCCCTGAATTAACTCGTGACTTACCAAAGAAAGAGGAGGAGCAAAATAAAGAAGATGGAGACCCAATCATTTTATCTGAACCCGGTAAAGAACCCGTTGAAATCCCCACATATCCAACATACCCCCCACCTCTTTCATCAAACATCGAGAACCCAGGAATCTACGATTCCAGTCGCAATGCGCCATATAAAATAGACATTAATTCTGAATTAATGAAAATTTACCGTGATATAATAACTGATAATTATGATTCAATAATAAATTTAATTGATCAATCCGGTTTAATTATTTTACCTTATGAATCATTAATTCACATTATCGCCATTCTTTGTGATGTTCAAGATTCAGACGTTAAGATTCAATTTTTCATAGATGATGAGGTTTCATGCTGCGGAACAGTTGCAAAAATAAATCCTATAAAGGATATTAGCACAATTAAGATATCAAAGAACGGAACAACAACTGAACTTCATTTAACATAATGATATTTATAATAAAATAGTTGATGAATATAAAATATCACTTGAAAAATTCTTTGTTAAGGCCATTTAATATTCAAGCATTAACATTATTGAATAATAATCCTTTGAATCATAATCAATAATAATTGACCTTTCACCAGTTTCTATCGTTTGTTTTATTTCTTTTTGTTCCCCACTATCTGGATCGGTCATTGTAATTGTTTTTGTTATAGTATCGGCTTTATCTTTAACTTCAATCTTTTTTCCATCAGGATATTTAAACCAAAATTCCAAAAATTCGATATTGTCAATCTGTTCATATTTTAATCTATCAATTACATTTTTAATACCATCTGAAAATCTTATGAAATGGTCATTATATGGGTTTGATTGAACTAAATTTGAATGAAGTGAAATATAACCCGATGATGAATATGACATTGACTCATATTTTCTGAAAACACTAAAATTTATAACATGAATGAATTTCTTATTCGTTGAATTTATGAATTCTTGAGGTAATCTTATTCTAGTTTTATTTATCACTGGAAAATAACGCTTTACCATATTTTTAATCGTAATAAAAATGTCAATTATCAATATTATTTCGAATAATAGCTGTGAATTAAATTTAACAGTTAGCGGAATTTATAATGTTACTCTCGTTTCTGTGAGTGGTAAATTTAATCCCATTCTTTTAGACCCTTCAGATTATATATCATTTATTAAAGATGACCAGAAAAAACGTATGATATGTATATAAATAATGTGATCACGAAATGGGATATTAACACGATTTTAAGTTATTTAAATGAATCATTTATCATATGGTATGAAGAAAATTTTAAATCAAAACCTGATAAACTTTTTGAACTTGATGAAATAAATAACCTTATTAAATTCCCGCTGAAAATTAAATTTTGTACTCCTCATCTTCGTTCATTGTTGGGGATATTAAATTTTGAAAAAGATGTTGGGGATGTTTTGTATTCTGACACTGGTTCCAATTTCATTTTAATCAAATGTGATAAAGTTAATACCCCAATGAGATTTTCACATCAAACATTAGACCCTAACTCTTACCCATCAATACAAAACATTTTATCCATCAACTTAAACACATTTTCTTTATCATATCCGTTTCAATTATCCGGGAATTCATTTATTCTTCATTCAAAAGATTTATCAAATATTAAATTTAGAATAACTGACCTATTTGATTGTGATTTAGAATTCATGAATGAAATATTATGGCAATTTCAAATAGAAAAAATAGCTGATGAGATAACGGATTAAATATTTATTTTTAAATCATAATAAATGATTAAACAACAGCAACCACAACAACTTAAGGCACAGACCATTACATACGCCACATATGCATATAATTCAAAGACGGCAGAACAAACGCAAAGGTTGAAATATGGAGATTTGGAGATAGTATTGAAAAATGACCATTTCGAATTCGTTTGCAAAGGTGGTGCAGTGATATCAAATATAAAAGAAATTTTATTTATGAATTCAAAAATTAAAGGTATAACGGATGATATAACATCAATTCCACCAGAAGAACAAAGATATTACGCATTAAATGCATTTCCCAAAGTTTTGAAGATTGGAAGATTTAATTTAAATGAGGAATTCATAAAAGGTTTCCTAAATGACATAATGAAGAAGGCAGATAAGGAATATGTCAACAGTGAATTAATGAAGAAAGCAGATAAGGAATATGTGGATAGTGAGTTAGAGGAGAAAGCAGATAAGGGACTTGTGGCTAGTGAATTAATGAAGAAGGCAGATAAGGAATATGTTAATGAAAAAGATAATGAAATTATAGAAAGGGTTGAATGGTATCATGGATGGACATCGAAGATTTTAAAAACTAAAGCTGATACAGGATGGGTTTCAGAATGTTTAGACCTTAAAGCAGATAAAACTTATGTTAACAATGAGTTAGAGAAGAAAGCAGATAAGGAAAAAGTTATTTCATTCATTAATACTGAGTTAGCAAAGAAAGCTGATATATCATTTGTTAATGAAGAAATAAAACAATCAGAGGTCTATTTTACTCCACCATTTTTAAATTTTATGAAATCATCAGATAAAACCTTTGATATAGATTCTTTTGAATGGATATGTTTCGATGGAGTGACCATGTATTTATTTTATACAGCTGGAGTGCTTTATTATTTTAAAACAAATGATTTTAAAAACTATGAATCATTTACTCCATCTGTTTGGAATCCTGATACACGAAAGCCAATCATTAATCCAAGAATTTTATATGTTGAATATAATAACGGTAAATTTATGGGAATGATAACGGTTGGAGATGATTTTTGCCCTTGTTATTCATTCGATTGTATCCAATGGTTCAAATGTAATTTAAATCAAGATGCTAAATTTAAATTTCCAAATAATCCTATTAGATGCGTTAATAATAAATGGGTACTAATTTATGAAGTCAATCAAATTTTCATTAGTGAGGATGGGATAAATTATTATATGTTTAGTATGATGTCATCAGATTTGAAAATTGATTATACAAGTAAGTGGTATTACATTAACAGCATGTATTTTATCCTACAAAATGATAAAATTTATAGATCATCTTCAATACCACAAGGTCAATTTGAACAAATTTTTCAAGCTGATGGAGACATTGAAGCTTTATGTTATGGATCAAATGTTTATGTTCTCGTTTCAGGTGAAATGGTCTATTCATATCCTGTAAGCTATAACAGACATATTTATTTATCACAAGATTTATCAAATTGGGAATTGGTTTATTCATTCACTCCAAAACTTACTCGAAATTATAGATTTACTAATTTATTTTATATTGATGGGTATTTCATTGCTTTAGGATGTGGTGATTTAGTAAATATCAGTAGTGATGGAAGAAACTGGTCTGAAATCACAAAATTTCAAGATGTTAGAAAAGCAATTTTCAAAAATAATACGTTAATATTGATAACAAGACTAGTTTTAAATACTCACCCAAATTCAATATTATATAATAAATTCAATATTCATAATGGATTAAATACAATTCTTGAGATGATTTACCCCATTGGTTCTATATATACGTCAATGAATTCAACAAATCCAGCAAGTGTTTTAGGTTTTGGTGCATGGGAACAAATAGTTGACAGGTTTTTGTATTGTGCAAACTCTTCAAAGCAAACAGGGGGTTCGAAGAAAATTACTGAAGCAAACCTTCCACCGCACACTCATACAGGAACTACAAACACAACAGGTAATCATTCACATTCAATAACAAAAAGAGGTTATAGAAATCTTGCAGCAGGTTCGGATAGACAGGGAATGGATAGATATGATATTTCAAGTGACCCCGTAGATTCAAGCGCAGGTATTTTCTGTGAAACCACAGGAAATCATTCACACACTTTCACAACAAATCCAACAGGCTTGGGTGAAGATTATATGCCACCATTTATGACTGTATTCGCATGGTACCGCATTTATTGAATGAACTAAATATATTTTATGTCTGTAATTAATTAGGTAATGAAGTAATGGATGAACTGCAGAAATATATTTTATCGTTAATGTTTACGTTAATGTTTACGTTAATGTTTACGTTAATGTTTACGTTAATGGTTACGTTAATGTTAATGTTAATGTTTATGTTAATGTTAATGTTTTCAGGTTATTCAATAATTATTTATTTTTGAAGAACTGAAGGGGTCACCGGGTCACCAGGTGGTCACCAGGTAATTTAACTTCTATGAAAAAATGAGACAACATGACATTTAGACAACATCACAGGAGGAAGGCAGTTATGACTTATTTTTGAAGAACTGAAGGGGTCACCAGGTCACCAGGTCACCAGGTAATTTAACTTCTCTGAAAAAATGAGACAACATGACATTTTGACAACATTAACGGAAATATGTGTTTACGTTAATGGTTTCGTTAATGGTTTCGGGTTATTCAATAATTAATTATTGAGTTTTGGATGAAAGAATACGGTCGAGCCAAAAGTGGCTCAACCTCAAAACGAGCATTTTATGAGCTTATTAATGGTGTTATGAATGAATTCAGTCCAAAAATAATTAATTTCATTAGTTTTAAAATTATTTTTATTTTTTATTTTGTATGTAAAGACAATAATGTCAGTCGAAGCAAAAACATTCACAAACAAATCTAATGGCGAAACATTCACAAAAGGCACTTGTAATGGTATTGAAGTCTTACGTAGAGACAAGGATGGTTACATTAATGCAACAAATATGTGTCAGCAGTTTAGGAAAGACTTTAGAAAGTTGTTGGAAAATAAGTCCTGGGAAGAGTATTATAAGGCATTTTGTGAAGAATATAGCAACCGCCGGAATTCCGACGGTTGGTTTTTATACAAAATTCATGCAGGAATTCCTGATGAAATCAAACAGGTTAGAGGAACGTATGTAGACCCAAGACTTATAAATTATATAGCAATGTGGGCTTCTCCAAAATATTGCATAGCAGTTGGAAAAATTATGGATTCCATAGACAAGAAAGTTCATGAGAAATTAGATGAAGAAGAACTCGAAGATACAGTGGAGAATGCAAAACATTTGTTTGAAGAAGAAGTTGGAAAAATGTGCGAAAAACAATTAGAACATGAACGTGAGATATGTTATGGTTATAGAGATTCTCCATACGAACTAGACCAATGGGAACAAGAAGATTTAAAGAGAGAATTTA